AAGCTTTCAGCAAGCATTGCAAGAGCAAGAAAACATCTCCAAGACATTTCTTGCAAGGCCTATGCCAAGCAAAATGATGCTTACTTTTTCGGAGTCTTTACATTCAAACTGGCGTGTGGCAGCAAATAGAAGGGCATTTTCGTGAATTTTGGCAGCATGCTTCTTTCGACGACTGCGGTTATCTTAATTTGAGTATTTAATGATCATTTGATTCAGTACAGACGTCTACATTGGTGTGCCACTTACCCATTCTGGTAAATCCTTTGCTAAGCAAGCTGACTCAGCCTCATTAGCAGCGTCACGTACCAGCAGCCGCAGAACGGTGCGCCCGTTAACTTCCCTTAATCTTATAGTTGAAAATATGCACATTAATCTATCTGCGAATAGCAAACAATCGACTGACGACAATATGATTGGCGTGTGGCCTGGAACAGAGATGTAGCCAGCGGTTGCGAGTGCTGTTTCTGATCCCTCAGCACCCATTTCGCAGTGTTGGTAGTGTTCGAAAAGTGAGCGAAGCATCATTCCACCATAGTTGACTGCAACATTTAACATTTTTTTCTTGCATTGCTCTTTTAAGCTCTTAAGCTAGTAACACCATTTTTTGCATAACAAAAAGAGTCATAAAGCTGGAGCGCATTATCATAGCAAATGTCCTACTCTAATCTGTAATTAGGAAGTTCTAGTTGAGAATTTCAAAATTCTGATATAATGAATTGGTAATGTGCTGCCAAAAAGGTGAAATTGGGTTAAAGGCAGAATTTACGATGAAAAGTTAGCTCATTGGAAATAAGGGTAGAGGTGGTCAGTGGAGCAGGGATGAAGAAGAAACCATTGAAACGGCCCGAAACCCGAGAAATGGGACCCCTTCCTTGCCCGTTGATTTGCGCATTGATGCGACTCATCGCTGTCTACGCTCTCTCTCTCTGCTATCTAATCACTCGCCACGTATAGACCTGCGGCGAGTGATTAGATAGTCGGTGGGCGTACCCCGCCAACCGCGCCAAGAGTGAGCCATGCTAGATCGCCGAGGTCAAATCTTTCGCTGCCAATTGCGTCGGTCAGCACCCTCAGGAGGTCCGCCTGTCTCCCAACTATGCAATTTCCCCTTCTTTGACCTTCGTTCTTATCGTGAATTCCTCCTTTAAATATGTGCGTGTAAACAATGAAAAGCTTCTGAACTTCGTCTCGAGCCTAAAATAAGGGCCTCATCCCGTAAAGGGGCATCAAAGTGGTGCCAGACCTCATCTCTAGACTGGCCGATGCAGACTTTTGCGATTGAGGATTTTGCACAACTTTGCAGTAGACGGAATCGCTTGACGATGCGAGGACGGAGATTTACCAAGCGCGGCCGTTTGTATCGGTAATAGAAAGTCTGACTTCGGCCACTGCCTACACTCCCCCTGGCGCACAGGTTTCTTGAAGTACGAGACCCCGTAAGCCAGGGGGAGTGAAGCCAGTTCAGGGGGGTGGGGGTGAGGGCAGCTATTAGACGTTGCATCACAATGCCCCTTCGGATGAGGCTTAAAATAAAGTACTAGAGTGTACTAGCCTTTTGAAGGCAAATTTCTTGACTTAATTTGTGAACGTAAAAATGTAGAATTGTAAAGGTAAAATGGGAAAATGAAAGCAGTTGTAGTGCATGCTATACCAATTATGAGGGAAGCGAGAAACCGCTAGAAAAATCAACATGGTGTGCGCTGTATGAGCGCTGTCGGCTACATGCGTGCGATTGCGGAACTGACAATGATCTTTGCCTTTTGAATAAGCACACAAAATTTGACAACTTGAACCACACAAGTTGAGTGTAGGAAGGCTGATGTAAGAGATACTTGAATTGCAAAAAGCTCATGACAGTTTATGGGACTTGAAATGAGTCCTCGTAAATCGCGTCAATATTGCACCGTCCTCTATCCCCTTCGACCTGTTAGGCTGGTGTCAGAGTCCGCGATCCGTCGCAGATTTCGCTGATTTTCGCGATTTGCGCGAAACCTGCGATGGATCACAGGAGTTGGAAGTGCCCGATGAATACTGCGAGGTGTTGTTTAATCCTGCTGCGAATTCTGCTTGGCAGTAAAGATTGAAGACGAATTGTGATTCTACTTGTTTCATGTTCAATGTCTATTAGTTCATTGAAATGCTCATGATTCGTTCCTACCTTTGTTTGTTTCTTTACTTCATTCAGCCATCACTACAGAAGTGGTGGCGGGATGAAGAACACCTCGCAGTATTGATCGGGCACTTGTGATTTTCGTGACCCGCGCGAATCGCGAAAATCAGCGAAACCTGCGACAGCGGACTCGACACCAGCCTTAGTAGCTCGTGCCCCCTATTCTACACACATACCATACACTATTAATAGCTCACCCACCCACTTCCTTGAAGTTTGAAAGAGGTGGAAGACCCACCCACTTCCTTTAAGTTTGAAAGGAGACAAACTACCTTCATGCCCGTTCTCAAAGGATTCACTACGTGCTAGAGGACTCCTCCTGGCTCCGAGCTTCGTCCTCTTCACTTGGTGAAGTCTCGGTCTTTCCCGAGTGGTAAAGTGGTGTGCAGTAGTTCGTACAAGACGACTACAGATGCACGTTGGCCTAAGCGTGGCTCACGCGATGGTCTTCTGTGTTCAGAAGGAAGTGTACGTTTGAACATCCTCAGCGAGAAGATGGTTTCAATAGTACAAGATGGCAGGTGAATTGCGGACAGTCCCCGTTCCCTAGCTTGGTTGAAGCCTAGAATCTACAGTAGTAGATTCTAGCACCTTTTGTATATTGATTGGCTCATTGCCAATCATCATTTTGTATATATATGCAATAAATGGTTAATTACGAAAAGTGTGTTGTGTTTGTAATTGGGTACGGTCAATCGTCACAGCTGTTACATAACACCCACTACTGTCACGAAACTTTGGAGCTCTCAGTTCCAACAGCATATATCTCGCCCTGTAGCCTATGACTCAACAAAGTTTCAAAAAAATTACTTTTGTTGTCCGAGTCTTCAACGCCAGCGTCCTTCGCAGACAACCACGCCGAAAACACATCTCCTTCTTCGAGGGTTATTTGTAGCATCTAAAATGATAATGTGTTGAAAAGCCCATGACATGCATATCTAAGTTGTTTCATATAGTCTTGAACCTCACCCCGCTTTTGTAATCGACAGAGAACCAGCTCGGAACAAACACCTTCCGATTGTGTTCCAGTACCACATCTTCAAATGGCCTCTTACCAAAATCAGCCACCTGGAATTTTTCATGATCAGTTGAAGATTCGTGGCAGACATTTGAGTTACTGCTGTTCTTATAAAAATTCAAATAATTGAATTAGTTCATTATCCAACAATCTCAACAGGCAGCTACTGTAATACTTCTTCAGCCAAGGACATCGCTACAAGCCTATGCAATCATCTGAACCTTTTGATATTACGTGACGTTTGTCGTTTAAGACACCAGCCTGTTTTATTGAAGTCGCCCCTAAAAAATTCAAGATGTTCCTGACCACCTTTCCTTTTCAATAATCAACTATGCCGTTTTTTTCAGAACTTCTTATATATTTTGACCGCCAAATAATTACATACAGGGAACTCATGTGAGACTTTACTTGAAGGCGTGGGACCAACCAGGGGCAACCCTACGTTGTTACGAGTAATAACGAGGGGGTCGTACCTGGTCGAGTTTGTAGGAGAGGGGGGGGGGCGTCGTACCCACTTGAGTCGCTCGAAATCACGTGTGGGATTGAGGTGGAAGGTAAGATTCGTGGTAGTAGGCTGGGCGAGTGGAGGGTGCGCAGGATAAAAGTTTACCGTTTCAGAGTGACTATACCCCCCCCTTGGAAGATGGAGATGGTGGAGGTAGGGAAAAGGGGGTCGTATCAAATCCACGTTGGGGGAGGGGGGTCGTAAAAATTTTTCGAAAAGTAACAACGATAGGACAGACCCTGCGTGGGACGCGATCGAATTGAAGTGTTGCTCCGCGTTCAATTGAACAGGAGCTGCGAAGAAGAACGTTAGTGAAGAAAAAACAAGGGATCCAACGAAAAGACTGGGACTAAAGGCCTCGTTAATTGTGAGGTCGACTGTGATACAGTGGAGAGACACAGTGTGGCGAGGAGAGGAATACACGAGAGAGCACACCGTACGGGAGAGTACAGATTCCGCGTACACTGTGAACAAGTATGTGTGACAGCGGCCTCACAAAGCGTCAGCGTCCTCTCACGCACTTCCGAATTGCGACAGTGCCAAGACCTCTCTCCGTAGAAGCCTCGCTACCTCATTCACGATCACAACTGCTTTGACAACTGAAAATATTACCTCACTGTCCCCTTGAGAAAAATTGCTTGGAGTCTGTCTCGCCAGATACTTTTACCGCCAGCGACGCTTCCATGCTAGGATAGAGCCGTAAGTGGTAAATGTGCCACTCTCGTGGCTCCAGCCGCGTGCTGCGGTCATGCCGTTTGGCCGGTTGTTGCTGACCCTGCTGTTCGAGAGATCACCGGTCTGCGCAACCGGATTTTTGATTCTTATATGCACTCACGTCACGAGCCAGTTCCCCAAGCGCCCCCTAACGTGTCTGTCTCGTAAATTTGTCCACCTGATCTGAAGGGAGGTTCATAATTCCAATGTTTACAGCAGCTTCCCTTCCATCTTATTGAATACGATCTATTTCGCACCTCTAACTTCATTATCAACGTGATTGTCCCTAAATATTCTATGATCGTAGGAAAAAAACCTTGATATGTATGTTGGAAAAAAGGGTAAGAAGGAAAAGGGAGAGATACGAACAAGATAAATAACGTATTCCAGTAGCAAATAAGTCAACACTGACATACGAGGGCATTCTTGGAGCAATCTGGAGTCCCACTACACTGAAATTGAGTAGCGAACTAGTTGTTATAAAAAAAA